GATGGATGGATGGATGGATGGATGGATGATGAATGGATGGATGAATGGATGATGGATGATGGATGGATGGATGATGGATAATGGATGATTGTTGGATGGATGGATGGAGGATGGATGGATGGATGGATGGATGGATGGATGGATGGATGATGGATGGATGGATGATGGATGGATGGATGGATGATGGATGGATGGATGGATGGATGATGGATGGATGGATGGATGGATGATGGATGGATGGATGGATGGATGGATGGATGGATGGATGATGGATGAGTTTGTGCTTCCCTGGGAGCGTGGGGGGCTGACTCAGCCACACGCACCCTCCCCGGGGATGAGGAGCAGGAGCCCTGGGAAGCGGGCACAACCAGGTGCACACACAGGGCAGCCCGCACTCCCAGATCCTTCTTGCCGCGCTCCTGAGCCCCGGGAGATTTTCCCGAGCCGCCGGCACAGCCTGGTACAGCCCCGCGAGGTGCTGGGAACGGGGCAGCGCTCCAGGGCAGCGCGCAGGGGAACGGGATCGCTAATGGGAACCAGCTGAGGCCCCCGGCCCGCTCCATCCCATCCCCGAGCGGCTCCTGCGAGGGGAAACGCGGACGGAGGGAAACGCAACGCGAGGGTTTTTCCTCAACTCGTGAGCGTTTTTTGGTTTTTTTTGGGTTTTTTTCCCCACCTTTTTTTCCCTTTTTTAAAATTAAAAACACACGCCCGCACATCCGAGCTGCTGTGGAACACTGACCCCTGCGGAACATGGATACCGCAGAGCCGGGGTCCCTCCACAACCACCGAGCTCTGCGAGCAGAGCGAGACATTTCCTGCCCCTGCAAACTCCAACTCCCAGCTTCCTGCCCGCTGCCATCTGCCCTTTCAGATGGCTTTTCCTGCAGCTTCTTGTATTTCATTACACTTGGCTATTAATACATTTTTAATGACGGGAAGCGTGTGCCTGCGGAGGGGACGCTCGCTCACGTGCAGACATTTAAGGGCGCGCAGTCCCAGCCCTTCCACGCTCCGGTGCCCAGCGCCAGGGCACAGCCGAGGGCACCGGCGCCACCAGCCTGTGTCACCCCAGCCCTGGCCAGGGCGAGTCTGTCCCGGCCAAGCCCCGGCAGCCCCGCACAGCCGAGCCCCGTCCCGTGCCAGGAGCCCGGGACTCGTGTCCGGCTCCCAGCTGAACTGGGGCTCAGCCCACGCTGAAATGTGGGAGCCAACCAATATCCCAAAGGAGAGCGGCTCCCGGGAGCGGCCGCTCCTGCGGGCACCTCGGCAGCCAGCCTGGGGACACCTTTGTACCCACAGCCACCGCTCGGCGACCACCCCAGGGGTCCCTAAACCGCGTGGGGCGGGGGGTGCGATGGGGGTGTCACGCCTTTGCACAGCTGATGCACCCCTGGGTATGCGGTGGGTGCGGAGGGGAGGGGCAGGGGTGGGGGTAGGGGGTGTCATTGCCATATCCTCTGGGGCAGGTCCTGCAGCCCCCCATGGTGAACCCCACAGCCCCCCGGAGTGAGCCCCACATCCCACCTCGAACAGATCCGGGAGCCCCTGGGTTAAACCCCACAGTTCCCCTAGGACAGACCCCATAGCCCCCCAAGGCTGAGCCCCACAACCTCCCTAGGACAGACCCCATAGCCCCCCAAGGCTGAGCCCCACAACCTCCCTAGGACGGACCCCAGAGCCCCCCAAGGCTGAGCCCCACAACGTCCCCAGCACAGACCCCA